GAGCATCTGAGCTACTTAGGTGCGGAGCTGAGGCATTGTGTCAGGAATGAAATGTGGAAACTCTGCAGCACCTATTGCTTCATACTTTGACATCAGCATGTCACTACACTGGACAGTTTCAGTTACACATTTGGAAACCTCTTCAAAGATCTCCTTTCCCATGGCCATGCATTGATTTTAATCCCAGAAGTTCCTCCCCAACACACAGATTTGAATCCAGTCCAGTGCGCATTTGAAAAAGCTCGCTTTTTCTCTGGGCAGACGGGGTCACAAACATTCATCATACATTTTTTCAAAAACTCTCCCTCGTTGAAGGGATGGGCAGATTTTGCAATTTCAGCTTCCACTGTAAAACTCGCCTTTACAGCAGCCCCACTTTCTGATATTACTTTTTTGAACATAGTTGTCTGTGAAACCAAACTTCTTTCCATCTCCTTTATTTTCTGGTGTGTTTTAGACATATCCATGTCCTCGTACTTGTCGTGGTGTTTTGTCTCATATTTTCTTGTAATGTTGTATTCTTTGGTTAAAACTACCTTGGCTACACACGCAAGACAATCAGGTCTGTATATGCGTCTATGTATATATATATATATATATATATATATATATATATAAACAGGTATTCTGTCTTCTATCTGTCCAGAAATATTCTGCCCCTTTCTTTTCACAATTTTTTAAATGGGTAGCACAGTGCTAGAAACAGCGTAAGGTTGCTATGACTACTGTCAACAGGAGAGGGTTTGTACCGTTCCTGTAGTGATTGACGCGTCAAAACATGAGCAGAGCATTCTGGGATTATTCGTATTAGCACAGTAGTACATGCACTGCATAATACCGGTGGGCCAACACTAGCAGCCAAACATAATTACTCTGTGGGACATATTTGGTCCGGGGGCCAGAGTTTGACACCTATGAGCTAACGTGATGTTAAAAACATTATTCTTTAAGTAACCTCTAACAGGAGAAAAACTAGCCGATGCAATCAGAACTAAATCGGACATACATTCATGCATATATGTCAGATAGATGGAAACTGATGTGGCCAGTTGTGGAAAGTTGTCACTTTCTTCTCTGTAGCTGCTCACCAGGCCTGGCTTTTCTCTGTCATATTTGGTGTTTTCTGATGTGCAGACAACAGAATTGTGGTTAAAATAGTTTTCCACTTTGCCTTAGTTATGTTAACTTCTTCTTTGCGTGACCAGACGTGATCCTGCAACTATGAATGGTTCACAGACAATAAGAGGGGTCACGTACACACACACACACACACACATATATATATATGTATATATATATATATATATACATATATAAAGAGAGAGAGAGAGATAGTGTCATTGATGTGTGTATTTTTGTGGGGGTAAATTTAACCTCTGAATTGTGAGATTACCCAAGAGATTACCTCAATGGGATGGGAGGAAGGGAGAGATGTAAATTATGGGATTTTTTTGGGACTGTAGAAGCTGGTGGGTTGTGTGTATTATAAATATACCAAATCAATAATAAATGACACAACATCTTACATATTTGGAGTCTGGCCTGGATTTCTCATGGGAGATTGATGAAAAAAGCAGACTGTCTCCTTCCCATCTTTCCCTAACACTTTGAAAAGGAGGGGTGGAAATAAGAGCACAGGGAGCCTTAAATAGCAGAAAAAAAAGACATGCTTCTCCCAACAAGTCTGAGCAGGCTTTTCCCTCAGATATGCTTTTATGCCTTATGTGTGCATGTGCATGAATGTGTGCGTACATTACGAATCGGACGCCGAACATTACTTATTCATCAGCAATGTCTGCCTGGCTGCCACACTGTGTATTTCAGCATGCCTTGCAATCATTATGCCCCATGTATTATTTAAGGCCCACATGTGCACGCTGACTCTAATGTGGATAGCTCCACAAGCTATTCATCTCTGATACAAACACTTATTGCCTGTTTTCTCTCTAGCTGTTGCAAATCTTTTACTTGTAGCTATTGCCTCTTTTATAAGGCTGTAAGGTTCCAGACAGAATGTTTTACTCTTTCTTCATGCTGACAAGCATTTATAGACTGTTCCCAGGTAACTTATAAGCTCTTGGTCCTAGCTTGAGGTTCTTAAACTCAATATTTTTAGACTGTACTGTCTGGTATAACCGAGCTGTTAACTGTTCAAACAAATGTCCTCTCCAAAGTTGTAATTGGGTTAACTGTACTGCAGTGTGACTGTGCCGTCAACTTTCTGTTGTAGGTATTGTGTTTAAAACACTTTGAAAATTATCCAAATGTGCCCCCACTTATTTTTACATGATACATTTCTTGCTCCCCACGACAAGTCTTTACTTGCCCGCCATGTCTATCTATTGATTTTCAGTACAAAGGTCATGAAGAATACCACTGCTCCGTTTCACAGTCCAGCCACTGCCCTTCCTATTTGGGAGATTTTCCCTGTTCTAAAAATGAAAATGTGTTTGTGTCTGTGTTCTAATGCATGCGGCAACGGTTTGGGATCAGGCATTAGCAGTCATGGCTGCATTGAGCTTTGCTAAGTCTTTGACGTCAACACTATACAACAAGCTGATAACACAGAGCTTTATCAGGGCCAGGTGTGTGGGTGTGTTGTCAGATCAAACAAAACTTGGCTTCCTGGATTCTACGCTGAACTTCAAAAATAGCTCCTGCAAACACACAAGTATCAGACCATCTAACTTTCACATACATGCAGAAACATAGATTTAAGCACACAAAAATGCATATTTGATTTAATATCTGTTGTGTATCATACTAACTGCTCACATTCTCATGAAATCAAAATAAATATATTTTTAGAATTTTAAGGCTCAGCACAGCCTATTCGATCAACCAATCCAATATATTTAATTAATGTAGCACTTTTATACTAATTAAATGTATCACAAAGTGTTTTACAGTTAGAATGCAAAAGCATTCAAAAAATAAACAAATGGGCTAAATTAATCATTCAAATAAATTCTTTCCAACCCAGCTTTAGGTGCACTATTAAGCTATATTGTGAATATGATTTAAGAACTCAGGAAATGTAGTCGCATTTGATAGAAATAAATCCCTCAAATTAGTGTGCCGAAACTGTCATGTTCTTAAAAATAAATAAAGCTTCATGATGAGGTTTTGATTAGAAGTTTTGTTGTTTCATTGGTGTTCTCCCTTTCTTGCTTATTGTTAAGATTAGTTGATGGCTAAACTATTATATATTTGTCTCTAACCAACCAACGGAACACATTTAAATATTACAGAAAAAAATTGTTAGCCACTTATTGTTTCATGGGAAGAAATTCAGTACTCTTATCTCCTCAAGTTATATAAAATGAAAGTCTGTGTCTTTCTCTATTTTGCTTGTATTTGTCTCTCACTGCAATTATTTTATGCAGGTATTGCTAAGAATAAAGGCAACACTGAGTTTCAACATTCCAGTTAGGGTTTATCTCAAATTGGGGTTTTTCTTTCAGATTAGTGAAACATGGTGAGAAATAATTCAACAATGTCGGTTTAACTGCAGCTCCATTGGCTTTTGCTTTTACATGATATTTTCACACTACTGATATAAGCTCTAAACATAAATCTTTGGATTATCTTAAAACTTAACTTTTTGTCTATCATCAGTCACACTTAAGATAAAGATTTGTGAGGTCCTCATTGTGTTCTTCTACCTGTCACTGCAGCCACACATGCTGTCAGGGTACTTCAGACTGTCATTTCCAACCAAAATTGGACCTAGTGACTCAAAGATATTGAACATATTGATAAAGAAAGCTGGGCTCTGCATTGTTGACTGGACTATAGCTCACTAATTTAATTATACAATGCTATTCAAGCTACTCAGCACAATGGACACACTGCACGAGATCTACACGACATTCTTTCGATTTACTGCACTATGTTTGTTTCCTGCCTAAAACACAAAGGCATACACTTTTTACCTTCAATTTACTTGGATCTGGAAATATTTTATTTTGGAACTTAATAACGTGTTGTTATGAGGAGGTGTAACTTAACTTTGTACTTTTTTCTTCATGATGATAATGAAATAACTAATACACACAATTGGCTATTGATTTAGATGTATGTATCTCCCATTTTTATGTTGTGCACCTCCATTTGAGTACCTGAGTGTGTCTGCAAGAGGTTATGTGTGTATGACAAGGAAGCCATTACTCTCAATAAGAAATACAGTAAAGTGTTTGCATTTTTTATTTCATTGCATCTTCACCAAGTGAATTTTAACTGGCTGAATATGAAGCTTTCCATTGCCACGACAGTGAGGCATATGTTAAGTGTCCCCCTGCTTCAGAGGAGCATCAGTTGCTAGCGTATAGATTCCCCATGATAGCCAAGTCATTCAGTTTACATAATTGTTCCCATTTGTGCACTTCAAAAGTTATCATCCTTCCGCAGCTCACATTCCACTGATTCACACATACTGCTAATCTATCGCTGCTATTATTCAGCTTCTAATCCTGCCTCTTAGTCATGCCTTACTTTGTGGAATAACTCACTTGTATGGTTTGCTGCAGCTCTGTCATTTTATGTCAGTTTAGGTTGGTGAAATACACAGTACAGCCTTTCTTTCTGAATTCATAAATTTGGCGTATCTGTGTTTATAGTAAATCTGGGGTGTGAATCTTCAATGAGTGTTTTAGTTGAGAGGCTAAACAGTACAACTCTCTGCCGCTGGATTCCTGCTGAACAGATAGAAAAATACAACAGAAATATGTTTGTGCAACAAGTAGAATATCAAATATGGTTTAGCTCTTTATTCAGTGATAACATGAAGAGGTTTTATACTAAAGCAGGAAGTTAGTCTATCAAGGAACGCAGTAACACGCTGTTTGAGCCTCTTTGTTGGTTGCAGAACTGGGAGGTAAAGAGACAGTGACGCTTGTAAAATCCTTAACATGCCTGAGACTGCCCTCTGATGTCACTGGGAGAGGAAGGGGGAGTGGGAGGGGACCAGATGAACAGAGGAACAGAGAGAGGGTGGCAGCTGGAGGGCAGTGCGAAACACGTCTGTGAGAGAAGCAGAGAGGGCGATGGAGTGAGAGACGGAGACTGAAAGAGATTTGCTCTTACTAAGCAAACCGGCTCGGTCTGCTGTGTCCCCGCGCGGCTGTGGAATTTAAAGCTGTGCTGGCAGTCTTACTTTCAGCTTCAGGAAAGCCACACTTTTTCTGTCTTCGGCTCAGATATTCTGCTTCACACAGCCACAAGCGTGCGGCAGCCGGACAACACAGCACAACTGATGGGTAAGAGCTCTTGTTATGCAAGCTTTACTGTTTACATAGCCTGAAGTGGAGGTCTGTATAATATCCTCACTCCGTTGTGCTGAGTTTGTTTGTTTTTGTTGCTATTTCTAAAACACTGACGGCAGCTTTTAGAGTTTATTCGGAGTCATGTGTTGACTGTTAAAACTGCTCATTAGTTTGTTTATCAAAAAACCCTGTGGGTTTTATTGTATATACAGTACTCGCTTTCTTTGTGGATTTGTTAGTCTCTATGGATGTTCGATCGAGGGGTGTGTATTTTATAGACCTGTGTGTGTACACTAGTTGTGTGGATTTGCAGCTCTGAGTAGTGACAGCATTTATTGAATGGTACTGATGTATGGAGACTTGCTCAGCTGCACTCAGTGAAGCCTTTAACTGAATGAAGCAGATGGCAGTGTGGCTGTGTCAGTCCCTCCTCTATTGTTATTGCTTCTGTGGATGAAGAAATACAAGACAAATGTATGAAATTAGGCTTCAAGCTGTTTGTGTTACATTTGTGCCTTAAGAGTGACTTCACATCTCTGTAGCATGCCTGTTGTACCTGCATCCTACCTCATTTCACTCCAGTTTTATGGGGGGAATATGTGATAACTGATTTGTCATGGTTGGCATTAATCCGTAGAAGCTCTGACTTGTGATCAGATAAACTGAAGAAAAAAATGGAGAAAAACAGTGGGTCACTACAGCAAACTCTCACAGTTCCATCTCAGGCTTTAAAGTAATGCACAGAGCCATACAGCACATGCACACTGATTGCTGAATTGCTTGCAAGCCATCATTGGTTGACCCTTCATCTGTAACCACTCCCCCAACTCCCCTGTCCAACCAACCACTGGCCACAATCCCACCAGTCGCCATGGTGTTTGCCTCCCTCCTGGGCACCTGCATCTGTGGGGCCCGCAGAAGGCTGACATTATGTCAGCGATTACTATTCAGTCTTAATCTCTTAGATTTATGCTGATGTCACATATCTATGCTTGTACGTGGCTTTGTTTTGATCACAAATGTGTTGTCTTTCGCCCCCTGTATATTTGAGTTGTGTTTACTCAGGTTCTCAGTTTGTGATGAGTAGCTGTGGCGCAAGGATGCCCGGTGGGATGAGGAACTCCCCTGGGAATCCTAGTCTATAAATAACTCCTTCTGTGTGATCCATAATCTTTGCCTGAGGGGCTTGGGGGTAAGCGGGTGGGGGGGGGTTCCAGGAAGGTGGGGCTGAGTCATAGATGATGATAGATTAACTGAGACAGAAAAGGGAGATGAGGAGGAGGAGGAAGGGCTGTATTTTTTCTTTTTTGGGGGCTTTTTTTGTTGTTGTTGTTGTCCTGACTGTCTGAGCCCAGTTAGATTTCACATCATTGTGCACGTTGTGGGGAAACCTCTCAAGTCAATGTGATTTTCTCAGAATAAACACAGTTTCCTGTTCTGAAGATCAACAGAGTTTATCTCACATCCGCACTTCATTGCTCCAATGGTCCTGTAGCTGCTGAAGGTCCCAGCTCGAACACTTACAGAGGCCAGTGTTTGCATTTAGAAACAGTTTAGTGGGAATGACTTTTAGGAGAACGTCAATTGCATAGTTCTCATGTCATGATAGTCTTAGAGTTGTCAAAGTCATCATAGTTGGATGGAAATTGCTGTATCAGGCTAGCCTGTCCTTTTTAGATATAAATGTCATCCACTATTCTGAAGTCATGCTAGGTGTTGTCATGGTGAGTAAGCTTGTGCAACTGCCTCTCTTCTTGCATTGGCACCACACCATAATCTCATATCACAGAGTACTGTCCTTGTCAGTTGTACTAATTTACCCGCTTGTGCTTTCCCCCTGTTGTCTGCTGTTTTCCCCCCTGTGTTTATCTCCTGCCATTGGCAGAGCTTTGTTTTCTGTAAATGTACGTCTTAAGATTGGTGTTCTATTATGGTATAATTACCACAGTATTCTGTCCCAGAAGGAGCTACATCGGCTTGCCAATGAACAGTCACACAAATGTTTCCTGTGTGCTGTCCTAACTTGACCAGTGCTGGAATTGTAAGGGAAACTGAGGAGATACAGATTTAGAGGCAACATCTTTACACTTCTCTTGTATTTCGCCAGTTTTCAGTGTCTCAAATTACCCTAAAGCCTTTTCTGGAAGTGGAATCGTAGAAGTATAAAAACAACTACTGAAGCCATCAAAACGATGTTCGATAGACGCCTTTTTTTGTCTTTTTGATTCAAGCACTGGATGGAGTGTTGATACCTGGATATCAAGCTTCCCAGTGTGGGATAGCTGTTTGAGTGTTATGTTGGAGCAGTGATAACACCACCTTACTCCCTCTTCACATCTGTCTCTCTGTGCTGCCTGCATCAATATCCTCTGACTTGGAGTAACTGTAATTCTGTTTGTTGTTTTAGTCTCTTCTTCCTTGCGTTCGTCTTGCTGGCTGTCATTTATCACAGGATTGTGTGTGACCAGCAATGTTAAGTTAAAACAAGATAAAGTGTACAGAGGAAAATATCACCATTGTTCTTCCGTTTCATGCAATACAACACAAGATACACATGCTAAATACACAGTGCTAGAAATTGTTCTTAAACTAGTACTTTTTGTAAACCTCCACACCAAGTGTTGTAGTGGGGGGGGGGGGTCATATTTTGATCTTTAAATGAGATGATTAGAGTCTGTGTGTGGAATTATAACATCATAAAGATATGCGCGTATTAAGATTTGTTAAATTGGCACTATGTCCTGAAATAATCTATAGTATTGTACATTCTCAAAGCTTGCTGATAATTCCAGTGGAATATTGCAAGAACTTCAGGAGTCTGCAACCGAACCAATCAATTCGACTTCAACTGTTTTAGTAGTATACACAAGGTTGCAGAAGTACAGTAAAAATATCAGCTTTGATATAGCAGAAGAATGCACAGAGTGCAGTTTTATGAGATTCTAACATTCTAATTCCTATTCCAACTGTTGCCATCTATTGCATTGAGACTAAACTCACAATTCAAATGTGTAATTAACATTACCATGGCAAAAGAGTAGATTTTTTGGTTTAACTTTGAATGTGTCCACGGTTGGAGAAGAGAGTTTTCCCATCGATGTACAGCATAGCAGCTAAAGAAATTTTACCCTGTTTGAGGTTCTACTAGCGAACAGCTACCTTAAGCTCAACTGTGTGCTCAGTTTTTTATGGTTCTTGTTCTTGGACTCTGGCAGCAGGGTTCTCAATGAGCTGAAGCGTCTAACTGTTTTTTTTGGGAAGGCCAGAAACAGGGCATGACACAGCTAGAGAAGAAGAAATTTTTTGAGTTTCTTAGCTCAGCTCTGCAAATAAGATCTCTGTCTCTGGAGATTTGTTGGAGGTGGTGAAAATCTATCTTAGTAATAGCTTTGATGTGGCTATTAAAGTTCAGGTCAGAGTCTATTAAAACTCCAAGATTCTTACCATTGGATTTTGTCTTGAACCTTCTGGATTCAAGCCGAGCGATAACTTTCATATGGTCTGATCGATTTAATTTATGGGAAGCATGATTTTTCCAGCCGTTCACTTGCTCTGAGCACAGACTGAGGGAGTCTAATGGACCAAAATCATTCGCTGAATGAGACATATAGAGTGAATTTCAACTGCATAGCCTTGATTGGCAACATTGCTGTATTGTATGATCTGACCTAGTGGCAGCACGTAGAGTTTTGACGATAGGCCCAGGAATTGACCCTTCAGAGGGTCGGATTAATTCTTACTGATGGAAAAAACAAAGCCCCTGCCCTCAATTTTTGATCAGAAAGACGAACTTGGGAGGGGCCCCCCCCCCCCCTCCATCCAGTGTTCAAGTCTTTACAGAAGGATTTTGTGGTCAACCGTATCAAAGGCTGAACTATGATCTAGTAGCACATGAACAGCTGTTTTATCTGCTTCAGTTTTCAGATAAATATAATTTAAGACTGTTCAGTTTAATCAATGCAACTTTTTCAATATTTTTCCCAGTGAAAGGACAATCAGAGATCCGTCTGTAATTGTTTGATTGAGAAGAATCTAACCTTGGGCTTGACAGATGCAGTTTTCAGAGATCTGGTACCTGACAAGAGTGGAGCATAGATCGTTGTCTACAAATTCTTAGAGATTTTTTAAGTGTATTTAATATTCATTAGAACAGTTCGGATGTGATTACATGCACATTTGTTACTGTGAGATATAAATAACTGTGAATTGGACTTAGACACCTTCCAAAAGTGCATCATTGTGTCGGATTGCACTTCATTTCAAATGGAATGACACACCTGATGTAGATTTATTTATTTTTTTGTCCGTGCTTGATGATTCTTGCCTACTAGATATGTGACTAATCAGTCGTTGGGCATGTTTGTGCAATACATGTATTCACAGCAAATGTGTGGTGTAGATTTAGTTTAGCATAGCTCACTGAGAATGACTGGCTTTGGACAGCATGCTTGGACTGTTTAGAGTGAAAATGACAATCAGAAAGATCTCCTTCTTCTTGGTTGGCTTTTTAATTTGGAAGTGGCAGATTGTTATAGTTTAATGGTCTGAGGTGCCATTATCCTTCCTCTTGCTGATTTTTGGCCTTTTTTGTAAACACAGAAAGAAATGTTGGGGAAAAAACCTTAAGTTGCGGAATTTATTTCTACTTTTCACAAAATAAATGTAAGTCTTTTTAAATTAATCTGCGCAGCATGATTTGGGAGAGTGGATTTTTCAAATGTCCACTTTTCTAACACGTTCCAACAAGTGCACTGACATGCATCAGTGAAGCACCAGCATGTCTGCCCTGACCACACCCTTTCTTCTCTCACTACTGTCCCGTTGGGTGGTGTCAAGTTCCCTCCCGCTCTGAAAACCTGCCCGGTACCAAACATGTCATTGGCTGTCTCAGCAAATTCACTGCCACTCCATTCGCCACCTTATTGTTCACCAGGGATGCCAGAACATCCACGATAGGTCAGTGATGTTTCGCACTGGTTTCAGAGTATCGATCCTTGTCAGAGAGCTTGGCACAGGGCAAGGTGGATCTGTAAAGAGTTGATATTGATCAGAACAAATGATGCACAGGGGGTCAAGACTTTGTTTGACTGTATGAATTTGAAGAGTTTTATCTCTCTTTGTTCTTTTTTTTTAACCCACAGCTTACTTTAACAGTTAAATCATTAAATTCATTTTTACAGACCTTCTTATGTTGATATACATATATCAGTGACAATAGCAGATTTTGATTAAAAAGCCTGTTGGGATTTGGGGTGAAGTAGCGTGCAGACAAACCAAGGTTTTAAACTTTAATTTGTCTTGTTCTTCTAATATTGTGTGGGTTTGTGCAACTGTTTCTGGTAAGCTGCAGATTTACTTGCTCGTTAAAGAGAAATAATCTGACTGAACCAGTCCTAAATACTGTTTGTTGACAATTCCTCTCCTTTCCTCTGATTTTTTTTCTCTGTTATTTTCAGTGTTTCACTGGATTATTCTTATAAAGCAGATTAAATGTTATGGGTTTTATGATCCATAGGGAATGTACCACAAGCACGTCTGTGTTTTTTGGGGGTTTTTTTTTGGTTTTGGGTCATGTTTTAACCCCAGTTTCACCCCAGCCAACTAATGGATTTGTACCATTTTTTGGTTTTCAAATTCTAAAGCAAAACCAACCTGAACTGTTTAAGTATTAATATTGGGTATGTCACTCTGTACTATATTCTTTTAAATTTCCTGCATTGGTAAGCAACTTGTCTAAAAAATACAGCTTGCTCGTGTATAGAAGTGTCTATTGCCTCCTCTTTGCTGCATGGATGCTTGTATATGTGATTTTTGCTGGCATCCTTCATACTCCTGTCCCAGTCCAACATATATATAGGCTCCAGCTCTTTCATTCATTGCTCTCTATATCACACTCATTGTATATATTGGTGTTTTTATTGTTTATCCACAAAATTATAAAACAGACTTAAGTGCCAATCAAGCCAACAACACCATGATTACATACTGTATCCTATACTGAGCAGTGCTATCAGGACACTAACAACAAGTACAGCTGTTTAAGAATCAAATAAATATATTTAAATAGGGGGCTTTCCAAAAAAACAGTCTTGCTTCCAATGAGACAACTCCCTTGAGTCTTGATCAGACTTTCTTTTGAATCATTTGAATCGTCCAAGCATTAAAAAGAAAATGCACAAAGACACAAATCATATTGCCATTTTTTAATGGCATGTATAAGAAACCCATGACTTTGTTTCATAGATAGTAATAGTTTTTTTGTGATGTTAACTAAAAAATGTTTTTACCCACTGCACACCATGGATATCTCAAAAGTGTGCTGTGTGCAACTGAAGAATTTTAATTTTGGATAGGTGGAGATGAAATAAGAAATACCTTAAATTAAATGCTATCTCCAGAAGATGAATAGTATATGAAAGTCAAGACAGAGAAATTCATCTGGGTTGTTGCTCAAACCTCACCAGAAATATCCCATTGAAGCGTGGCTTTCAATAGACAAAAGACTGAGCTGCTAAATGACACAAGAAGTGGAATAAATTCAGAGGCAACGTGTGTGATGGAGGGATGAATTTTCATTTTTCATTGCTAAAGTTTTCTAAAATCACCATTGAAGGAGGCTCAATATTTTTTTATTGAAAACGGTACATACGTATAAGATAATCTACTTATGATTCCCCTGTTTTATCTTCTTTTAGTGCCGTCGCAGGTGCCCCCCACTACAACATCCATCCTTCCCATGGACCTGCGTATAGTAGACCACCCTCACCACCATCAGCAGCCTTCCTTTGGTCTGGTTTCCCAACCTCACCCCACACCAGTGCCCTCTACAGCTTGTCCTGGGTCATCTGAAGCAGGGCGTGGGCCTTTCATAAGTATTGATTTCGTCCCAGACTGTTTATATCAACAAATGCCACACCGGTTGTAGGTTCCCTGAATGGTGCTGTTTTCGAACTCCCTCAGACCACCAGGAGCAGCACTTGCAGCAGGAGCTGGTGACTCTAAAACACAAACAGCAACTCCAGAGGCAGCTGCTGATTGCTGAGTTTCAGAGGCAACATGAACAGCTGTCAAGACAACACGAAGCCCAACTGCAGGAGCATATTAAGGTGAGGAGGCAGCGCGGGTAGGTTAAGGGACGATTCTGTGTCTGCGTATGAAGGTTGGACTGAGGTTCTCCTTAGATACTGCTTCGGCAGAACTACTCAGCACATTGTGAAGGGCAGGGGAGAAAAATTGCATGTGTACATTAAAGTGGGAGTGGTTGTGTAATTTGATCTGGAGGCAGCATTTTGCTGCTCGGTTATCTCCATGGGAACCTTGGCCCCAGTAAACCCTGTGTGTGTGAGTTTTGTACATGATACTCTGCTAGAAAGCTTCACTCTGGTGTTTTTCTCACTACACAGCCAACTCAACTTCTAGGATGATCAGTTTGTGCAAGAATTAACCACTTATTTTGGCCTATACTGTTCTGTATCTGTGCACATTTCAGTGCTTTCAACTCCAATATTTGTAAAAACTTGCTTCTTTCTTTCTGTCCATTCCTTCATGTGTCCGTCTCTCCATTAGCACCAACAGGATTTACTGGCACTCAAGCATCAACAAGAGCTGTTGGAGCATCACAGAAAGGTGGAGTTGCAGCGTCGTGAACAGCAACTGGAGAAGCAGCAGAGAGAACAGAAGCTTCAGCAGCTGAAAAACAAAGAAAGGGGACAAGAGAGTGAGTAAAAGTCACTGAAGAAAGCAAGCAATATCTGACAAGATTGAACACATTTACTGTATCTGTGAAGTACAATAATTGTAGGAAACATATAGTGGCCTTTTCTGCGCAAGTTGGCAAAGGTTTCTAAGACACAACTGAAATGTCTGTGATATTCTCCAGTACTCAAAACTACATTATAAAAGTTTGTTTTTGGAAACATATTTTACAAATCTATTCTTACATCCTGTTGCTGGGAGGGAAGTGACCCACTTGGCCATTCCAAACTCTGTCACAGCACCTGTGGTTACCGCACAGCAGTCAGAGCAGCCTGACCTCACACATTCACCACAGGGAGTATCACAATGAGATGGTCACAACAAGGTTAGAAAATCCAGAAATTGATACTCTCTGTTTTACAATTTCTTTTTCCTTACTACTGTCATATTGATTTACCGAGAAAAACAAATTACGCTCGCTCAAGAATAACCATATTATATTTTGTCTCAGCAGTCACTGCCCCATGTATGATGACATAGTACTTACCTACCAATGTAGTTAGTTTCTGAAACAAAATAAAAGTGCAAAGTCATATCCTGTCTAAGTTTACACACTTTACACACAGTAATAATTTATTCTCCCATGATTGTTTTCTGCAAAGGTTTTGTTCCCATGTGGTGTGTTTAAAATTACTCCCAGATCTTAATAATATCCCAAGCCAAAAATGAAACCAAAGTTATACTGGACGTATGTACAGCAAGGATTTGTGGTGATCTAACTTTAAGGCGCTCCTGCTTTGCTCGGACTGACAAGTAAAACTCTGCTGATATTGTTATGTTGATACGATGTTTTTCTGCTCTTCTGGTTTGCTGTGTTTGGAAAGAACATTTAGTAACAAATGGAGGAAGCTTCATTAGGTACTACACTTAATTGCATAGAAGGCAGACTCATAGAAGCAAGCGTGCTGCAGTGGAAAATCCTTAGTATTGGGATGTCAGCACTTCTAACTACATTGTGATTTACTGGATGTATATTAGCTGTTGTCACTTTCACTTAAGTGAATTTGGTACTTCCTCTCTCAGGCCTGATGCATCCCACTCCTACTTTCATGCTTGGAAAAAAAAAAGCAGTTTTTCCTGATTTGCGTTTTTGGATTTATCCCAGACCAAGCTCTCTTTTCCCTGATTCTGTGTCTGCCTCCCTGGACAACTTGTTTTGATAGCTGTGAAATGAGGGTGGTAACTGAACACAGATCAGGCTGTAACTCCTGATGTGTGTCTTTGAATCAAGTTACATAGCACTCCAGCTGTCTATGGAATTTAAATGATACTCTGATGCAAGACTCCATTCTATGTTTACAGATTTTAAACAGCCATTATCTCAGAGACTGAGCTCACCTTGCGCTCACTGTTCAGCTCTCTGTGTGACTGTGCAGGTGCAGTAGCTAGCACAGAGGTAAAGATGCGACTACAGGAATTTGTCCTGAACAAGAAGAAAGCCCTGGCTCAGCGAAACCTAAACCACTGTCTGCCCAGTGACCCACGCTACTGGTATGGGTGAGTGTCACCACTGCAAAACAACGTATTGCTTCTTACTGTGAGAAAGGCACATTTCTCATACTTTAATGATAAGCATTACCTTGTAAAGTTAGAAAAGTATTGTTTCTGTAAAAAGCCTATTTTTAGTCAATCCAAATAGAATAAACAGCTATAGTTGGGGAAAACTAAAAGGGATTCAGTTCTTTTATGTACTTTTGCTTGCGTTTCAGTGATCATCTTTATTTACCTGTGCTCTACACATTTACAGTTCAAAAAGGTTGAATGAAACCTTTTTTTTCCATGAAAAAATCAAGCTCTGAAAAAAATTATCAAATATTTTTTCATTCAGTTAATGCTCTGTGAATGGTATCATCAAACCAGCCCCATCTCTACAATTAGCTTATCCTCAAGTGAACTATTTAACAGACTGTAAATTAAACATGTTAAAAAGGTTAGAATCTTCACTTTTATTGGATTACATTTTCAACATGGTTTTTTGTCTAGAAATCAAGAACATAAATGAAAAAGATCTGAGAGTATAATTGCATAATTCCTTGCATCTTTTTTAAATTACTTATCTCTTTCCCCTTTTATAGGATACTTCTTTTTCTCTCAGTTATGTCCCTCTAAACAAGAAATTGCAACTAAGGAAAAATATAAAATTTCAAAATAAGACTTGTAAAAGAATAAATCTTTTAACTTCACAGCTTTTCAAGCTTAGCAAACAATGTGTTGTTACAAACTAGTGCGTGAGAATTTGTAACTAATGTGCCTTTGTATGCACGTCGAGTTTCCTATGTAAACATTAGATTCTCTTGAGTTTTGGCTACCAAGAAAGACTGGAACCAGTCAGAACTTCTTCTGTCTGTTTGTAATCCTTGATTGGCAAGACCAATGTTTGATGTGTATGTCTCTGTATGTTTGATCTAGTCATAAAAGTAAAAACAATTAAATTAAAACAATGGTTTATGTTCTGATGTTCACACTACAGTGCCACTGTGGTAGTTTATGATTCAACTTTACAACTATCGTTTCTATAAGGTCACACCTGACTGTAAAATATTACTTAAGCCATATTGCAGATTATGTTGTGAATTTAATTCCTTTAATTTTTCTGTATGTCCAGAAAAACGCAACATAGCTCTTTGGACCAGAGCTCACCCCCCCAAACAGCACTCTCTGCATATAACCATCCACTGCTGGGCACATATGACTCAAAAGATGACTTCCCACTCCGCAAAACAGGTACAAAATGAAATACTTTTTTTTTCTTAATGTTGGCAACCTGCATCCATATTCCTTTACTTCTCGCCTGCTGAGAATGGAGCTTTAATCTTCTTTGTTTCCTGCTGTAGCAACTGAAAAATCAAACTGGCTTATTATGAATAAGAGCCAGAACCCAGGAGTCAGCCACTTGAGGATCATCAGGAATCTTTAAAATAGTCTTAACTGAAGATACCAAAATAGCTTTAATGTAAATTAGGGAGGTGGGATAAGCCACTTCAAGTGCAGAATGATTAAACTCGACACAAGCAATACTTTTTAAAAAGGATATTCATTTTCCTGTTGAAAAAATAGATGTCTCTTTGGTTGATGAAAAGCTTTTGCAGAGTTTTTATTAGCAAAAACACCATTAGAAAATACTGATCAAAACCATGATAGAAAATCTTTTGCCTTTCAGTAAGACATTTTACAAAGCATTTTTGCATCATAATAAGTTTCAGCATATTTTATTATGAAAAACTTTTTCTTTTGAAATGCCAGTGGGCAGTGGCATGTTTTGAACTAAATCCCATTGATGTTGACTCACATTGGGCCTTGACTCATTCATGAACATCACATATTGTCAGCACCTTTGTGCCGTAGAAGGATGTGTTGGTCAGTTTCCATCTGTCCATGTAAAAAACAACCAAACTGTTATTATTGCTAAGCATCAGTGACTACTTTGACTTTATCACTGAATGCTTTCACAGCTGGATACCAAACTCTGTGTACTATACCCTATAACCTATGATGGGATTGCTTTTTCCTGGCACATTGGTTTAGACTATGGATTTAAACTTTCAGGGACACTCTAATTCAGGTGTTTTTTTTTCTTGGGAAAGTATCTTGGAAATTCAAGATTCATGATTCTTAGTAAGGCTTAGCTTCAAGTCATACAAAATACATATCACAGTACACATTAATTTTAAAGTCTTTAGCTCATTAGTTTTGAGAGGCTGAGCAAAAATGCCAACTGCACACTGGCAAACACATAAAGAGACACAACTATTAAATTGTTGTGCCAGTAGGGAGCAGACACAGGTCAGATTAGACCAGCTCACAGAGAGATGAACTGTGCTCAAGAGGAAATTAGTGACAGTGACACAGTCACCACAGTAGTGCACTCTTCTGACGTCATGCCTGACATTTTTTCTCCCCGTTGGTCTTTCATCCTTATAAATTTTAAATGCACATTACATATTCTATTTCTATGCAGTGAGTTGATGCTTACAAAGTATTACAACAGGGTTCATTGTCCCAGTGTGAGGGACTTTTATGATAATGGCTTTTAGAGCACAGAAGGCCATTTTGAGTACTGTGACAGGAAGTCTGCTTGGCCTTTGTACCAGAGGCAGACTTAACACGTTGACTTCCTTCTTTCTTTTATACACTATAGCACACAGACAATCCCATATCATATTTTGCAGTGAATACATCCAACAGCCATGTAGGAAACCCTTACTCGTGGAGAAACATGTTTTTTGTTCCTCTAATCTCCTCTGATTGGTGAACGTGTGAACGTACAGGCTTCAAAATACTCCAAAATTCACAAAATCAAACCAGGTCGCCTTAATGGCACAAGTGCCAATACTTGCAATTGAAAGTATTGGCATGTGGACAGGGAAGCCACAGTTTTCAGTTTAAAACAAAGTGTGAACCAGTCTCACTTTGTTGGTATGACTTAGGGCCAATCCTCACTTAGTTAAAATTATTTTTACATTTTATAATTGTTCTTATTCTGACACTCAGAATATTTAATAATCTGCCCATAAATGGTATCAATTGCCTGCTATTATGAAAAAAACTAGACATCTGATCTTGCTACGGAGGTCACCACTAAAGAATCTACTACAGCCAGCCACTGTTTTGTGTAACAAGATAGAGAGAAACATGGCTCTTGCTGCTAGATACAAATATGTCTATTTTTTCTGCTGCATTTGAGTGAGCTTCTTTTTGACAGATTGTCTGACTGTGAATTTATTCCCATAGCACTCAGTTTTAAAGTTTCTGTGATAACGTCAACAAAGTTTGAAGGCATCTATGATTGACAAATTTTGGTCACATGCCGTAGATTAAGTCATTCATGTTCAAAACTTTTGAGGCTGAACTTTCTGACTTTGTTGTTTGCAAGGTTGATAGATGTTTATGGATGATGACAAGTTCATTTAATTTTTTTGAAAAACGTCACTATCTGGTCTGTCGCCCACCTTCCAGCCACACAGATTTTAATAAACTCATGACACCTCCTGGAGAGGGCCTCATAAGCTGAAGGGAAAAATGTCAGCGAGCTCTTTATTAAGGAAAACATTTTAATAGGTTTATGTTAGAAAATTGTGTTATAAAAGAGATTCATTAGATTAGGGGATTTGAATCAAAATACCCTGTTATACAGAAATGTATCCAAAAGTACACATTTTGTTCATTTCTGCAGGAAACATGCTAATCAAATAAATCCATCTGTTTATAAAGATGTCACTGCCTGTTTCTGTCCATCTAATCTATTTATCTAATGTATCTCCCATGTACATTGCTTCTCGGAAGCTCTGTTGATGAGCTTCAGCAAACGACCCTATTGATCTCCATACAGTAAATCGGCCTCCCTCCCTTTCATTTGCAGTGCAGCACAGCTTTTCCCAACATGAAAATGAACATATATCTTATTGGAAAATCAGTTGCCCCAATCATCTTTCCTTCATAAATGTTTAGGCTGGGTTCTCGCTAGTTTAATTAGATCATTTATTATTGAAATTTTCCAGGACTATTTTGGTATTTTGAGAAATCTTACAGATGAAAACTCACTAAGATAGATTTAAATAAGATTCAAAGCTGCAATTTTTAAGTCAATATTTTCTATATAATTTTTTTAACTAGTCTTGATTCAGGTAAGTTTTTGTCATCACATCATTTAAGGCCCATTTCAAGTGTGTCCTGTTCATCATCACAATTGTATTATCACAGAAGAAGAAAGGAAGTAAAAAAACTTATGCTTTTTTTGTATCACAAATGTGGGAAATATAGGATTGTTACCTTGGCAATAATTTAAAAAATGCTTTTATATGCTAATGATTATTCACCGAACACCCATAACTATTAAAGGAGGAAGGAAATAATTCCACACAAAAAAGACAGAAACAGGGGAAAGGAAAAAGGTTAAAAAAAGGAGGGCACGGATGGAGGTGAAGGGGAGGGAAAGGGCTACAGTGAAATGCCAGCATCAGCAGGAAAACCAGTCTGGGCCCTCTGCAGCGTTCATGTTTGGACAAGTGCACACTGGTGAGCTTTTGCCCAGTCGGCATTAACACCCTTCAAAGTCACTGCGTCCTGAGATGAACACTCCTGTGGCGACTGTTGACCAGCAAACTCACAGCCTTCCCTCACCCTCCAGCTCCTTCACAATCCCCCTATCGCTTATTTAATTTAAATCTCTCCTTTTATCTACCTTTTGTGTCTCCTTCTTCCTGTCATGAGTTTATGCCATACTGACTGAGGATGCACAAACATTCATATAAGGTACCAGCTTAAACTGCATTTTTAAGGGAAGCATTTCAAGGGAAATATTTTTTGTCTGAACAATCATAATGAATGATATGGCAATTGTGGTAATGTTGAAGTGTCAAAATAATACAATTGTACTTCAGTGGATTTCAATGAAACATTTGTGCATTTTGCTTTGTCTCTCATGGATCTAGTTCATCTAATGCCCAGCACTTTACCTTTCCTGACCTTGTCCTACTTAACAAATACTTTGGAACAGCGCCATCCTCTTAGAGGAAATCCTGCTTCAAATAATTGAACTTCATAAGTTCAGCAGCATTGTTCAGCCTAAAACTGACAGCACAATTGGAAAAATACTTGAATGAGATTCACCGAAGGATTTCTCATTCCATCTCACATTAACATATGATGAGAACTTGCACCTCTTTGAAGTACAAAAGGAAGCACTCTGAATCTAATGATACAGCATAATTGTAATACTGAATAAATTGCCACTTCACACAAAGAATAATTTACTCCCTCTTGGCTGTACCGAAATGCCTTGCTCCCTGCTCTGAGGCTAATGAACATTGCATAGTCTTTTTGATATGAGGTCATGGGATGAGTAATGGGTCAGCTGTGGGTCATCCATCTAGCTTTAACTGATTGAGCTGAGGGAAACCCATTTTTAGAGGAGATAGAGCTGCCTGTGTTTGCTGTTGTCTGGCAAAGAGACACCGCAGGAAAAATGGTCAGGACCTGTCCTATTCACTATTCCCAGAATATACTGTACGCTTGCTTTGCCTTCATTCTGGATGCATGTCATTCTTATAACACCAAGTCCCAAATGGGAACATCTCAAGCTTTGACAAAGAAATGCGACGTGACTGTGATCTTACTAAATGCACTCCAACACCATGTATTTAGTATTTGAACATTTATTGAACTGGCGATGTTCATTAGCAGAGTATGTAGGCTGCATCATTAAGCAGTGGGTCAAAAAAGCTGCCAGTTGGCTGTCTCCCATGTCACTGTGGTCTTGTCCTCTGTCCTGTCGCAGGAAGATGGTTAACCTCTGCTCCTCATTTTGTCGGCCAGCACATACACAGTGGCCTATAGGGACAAGCTCATTAGTACCAGTAAATGCTAACAAACAAGTTCCCTCTTGTGTGACTCAACAGTCTCACACCAGTCTGAGCTGCAGTGTTTGGATGGGCACTAATTTTTAAATTATTTATTGGGTACCAGTAACACCTTCATAGTTTGAGAATTAATGTCTCTGTTGAAAATTAAGTGCTTAATCTGGAACAATTTAGCTCTGCCAACCCTTTTATCTGAAGTGAAGGTCTGTGAGCTGCACTTCTTGTTCCCCCAAAGCAATTGACTGCATTTCTTGCAGATTTTAAGTTTATCAAGCATAAAATGATGATTTTTGCATTCCTGTTCCTCAGCTTCTGAGCCGAACCTGAAACTTCGTTCACGGTTAAAGCAGAAGGTGACAGAGCGCCGCAGCAGTCCTCTGCTTCGCAGAAAAGATGGACCCATCACCACTGCCAAGAAGCGATCCTTAGATGTAGCTGGTGAGTACACCCATTAAAGAATTTGATTACGCAGCAAAGTCTTGGGTTGAAAAAGGAGGCATGCAAAAAACAATAAATTTCGTTGTCTTTTTTTTAAATTTGTAATTGAAAACTTGAGCTATTTTTTTCTTTTCATGAGCTCTTAAGTCTTTGTATTGTTTATTCTCATAAGGTAATGATGTGCTGCAAAGGTCTTGCTACCTAATACCAATCTAACAGCAAATACTTATGCCTAAGTTTTTACTGACAAAGTGGCAGCTATAAGCAAACAGTTTACCGAACTGCCAACAACTCGACCATCTCAAAGCATGTATGTCACTAAGTTAGCAGGCAGAAGTACTAATGCATCATTTACTTAGTTGACTTTTCTCACTGAGAGCGGTATGTCTAAACTCCTTGCATGTAGCCAACACAGTCCGTGCCTGCTAGACCCTGTTCCTACTCATTTATTTCAGTCCGTGGCTCATACAGTAACTCTAGCAGTCACACATGGGATTAATGCTTTGCTGACGTCGGGTACATTTTCTACCTCATACAGTACAAGCAAGCACGGTTTATACCGCTGCTTTAAGAAACCCTCTCTCACTCAGATGGAGATCATCTTTAAGCAGGTACCAGAATACCTCCCTTAACTTCTCACTTCACTGAAAGAGTTTGGCTGGCTGAGACAGAAGCCTTTAAAGAAGCCAGACCAACAGCTAGCTCCTCAACACTCATGCTACTAAACTTGTCAGCTCAATTTGGCACAGTCAATCATAACATTCCTCTGTTCATACCCTCAAACATGGACATCATGGGGAAAACACAATCCTGGTTTGAATCGGTCGGCCATTCAAAATTACCTGGCTCGGTCACACTTCTGCAGGGCACCACCTCACCAAAGGGGTCCCCCAAGGTTCAGTACTGGGACCTTTTCTCTTTGCCACACACACCACCTCAGTGTGCCAAATCATGTGTTCACATGGCTTGTCATACCACTGCTATGCAGACAATACCCAGCTCTATCTGTATTTCCCACTTTACAACCACACCATCTCTGCATGTATCTCAGGCTGTCTCCTATGTATCAAAGTGGATGAAAGCCCATAACCTTCAACTAAAGCTCTCTAAAACTGAAGTGTTTTTCTTCACAGCTAAACCAACCATACACCACAGTATTTGTATCCAACTGAATCACTATATTGATCCATCAAAGATAGCTAGAAACTTTGATATCATGATTGATGACCAGTTTACCTTTAAATATCATGTTTATCATGTTTATCATCATCTTTAAAGAACTTTAAAGAGCATTACTTGGCATAAGAATCTAATTCAACATGCCACTTAGCTTGTGGTAAAGTCTATAGCTATTTCTTGTCTTGACTATTGTAACATTCTCCTGATTGGTCTCCCAGCTTGTTCTGAAAAACGTGTCTGGTCTTCAGTTAGCCTAAACAATCCCAATTCACCCTTCTGTTCATTGAGCTTCACTGGCTACCCCTAGACGCTCACATCAAATTCAAGTCACCGATTATAGCCTACAAAGTGCTTAAGGGTACAGCTCCCATCTACTTGAATACTTTGGCAAAGGCTTATGACACAACGTTGTCTCCCTGGCCATCAAAAGGATTGTCGTCAAGCAGCGCCTACACCATGGTTTATGTTTACGCATTTAGCAGACGCTTTTATCCAAAGCGACTTAAAAACTAGACACAATGTTACTCAAGAGGAAAATGCCTAGTCAGTCATGGGTGCCAGCGAAGAGATAGAGGGAAGTACAGAAAAAGTAATCGAGGGGGTATAGAGGTATGGGTAAGAGTTAGGAAAGGAGATGCTCTTTGAAGAGGTGGGTCTTTAAGACTTTCTTGAAGATAGACAGGGATGCTGCTGTTCTTGTAGCACTTGGTATGTCATTCCAGCATCTTGGAACAACACATGAAAATAGTGTGGATTGTCTTAAGCATGGTGGAGGCACTGCTAAACGACAATCCACTGATGACCGGAGTGACCCAGTGGTGACTTGCTTAAGACATTCCAAGCTATTTTCATGGTTCACTGCTAGAAGAACAGGAGCGTCCTTGTCTATAATCAAGAAACTATTGAAGACCCAGCTCTTCAAAGAGCATATCCTACCCTAACAATTAACCTGTACAGCCCAACTCCATCTACTACTTTTTTTGTACGTCCCTCCATCTTTAAACTGTCACCACTATAACCTCTAACAGAATCTAACTAATGATTTCCTTTTGTGTAGATTTGTATCTGCATTGTAAGTCGCTTTGGATACAACTATCTGCTGATTACATAAATATATATATAAAATTGTTTGCACATTACTGTGCGCTGTACATCAATCTAAAAAAGGCGAATTTTACCGAGTAGAGGGTTGAGGAAGAGGCAAGTCAGTCTCTCTATGCTAAAACTGGCTTATATTAACAGAGATGATAACTCAAATCATTAATTAAGTTATGACCAGATTTGTGTAATTAGTAAGTAGCACCTGAGAGCTGTGATCACTACCAAACTGACAGTCTAATGTCCACAAGAGCTCAGCCTCATTCATATTAAAGAATGATGAGTCATGTGTTCCACCAATCTTTTGATTATTACAGTTAAATAGGTTTCTTTTTTTCAGAAGTCACAGCCATTTCATAATAAAAAACTCATTAGTTTATTTTAGCAGATAGACACATGTTAACATATAGTATGTTTTTGGGGGTTTTTTGTTTTTATATATTGCTTTTCTTTGTTTTTGTGACTAGTTCCTGTGTTTTGTGTGTTACAGAGTCTGCATGCAACAGTGCACCTGGATCAGGTCCCAGTTCTCCTAACAACAGCTCCAGTAACATCCCTAGTGAGAATGGGATCCTCATGTCTAGCAGCCCAGGGGAGGTAAATAACATGGCTACACACATGTGCATGTGTATTACAGTATGCGTCCCTGGGTCTGTTGGTGTTTTCTCTTCGATGCCTACTTGTGACCATAGGATACCTTTATCAATGTATTTTGATTAAGGTCACAAATAATGTGTCTTCTTTGGTTATGTCTATGAAACAGCAGGCAAGGTCATTTGTCTGTGAATGAAAACATGTACAACTTGTGACTATTCTCTGTGAGTTTTTACTGTAATGTCATCATGGATGTGTTCAGGCCTCTCTGCTTCAAAGGATGGCTGTGACAGAAGGTTCAGTTAGTCAGCTGTCTCTTTATACCTCACCTTCTCTGCCCAACATTACCTTAGGACTACCAGCTTCCAGCCCAGCTAGCACTGTGAGTATAACTAATACACGATGTTAGAAAATCATACAATAAACACTTACCGATAAAGTATGTATAACTTGAAGAACATTTGATATCCACCAATATTGGCATTTATTTGCTATTTATTTGTAAACAGACACTGATTAAATTCATGAACTGTTTACTGGCACATGTAAGGAATGACAAATGAGTGAAACAGACTCTTAAATTTAATTTTTGGCATGCTAGATAGAGATTATGGAGTTTCTTATGCTTTTTCTCTTTGTTTTTTCTCCCTCCCTTTGTCTCAATCTCTTTGTTTTTAGGTGGTGTCAGGGCATCAAGATGGTGATAGTCATTTGGCACTGCCTGCGTTACAGCAGGGCATTCCACTGACCCCTCCTTTTTTTCCCTCTGCCCACCTGCCTTCCTACTTGGCATCTTCAACACTGGACAGGGAGGGGGTTGGCGGGGGCACAGCTGGTCACAACCCTGTCCTTCAACACATGATACTAATGGAGCAGAGCCACAGTCCAATGGGTCAGTAGTCCCAACATTTTCTTTTGATCCAGTTTGATTGTATTTGGAAAGCGATGCAGCCCATATTTATGAAAGACTGAGAATTAATCTAACTAATTTTGCAAAGGCCATTTAATTTTATGAACAGCATAGTTGTGGGTTTTCTCTGCTTGATCCAGATCCTTCCTATAATGCAAAGATATCTGCACTAAGTTAACTGGGAATTCAAAACCATCAATAGATGTATGAGTTTATGACTCTACTATGGCCTTGTGATCGACCAATGATGTGTTCAGTAACCCCTATAGAAAGCAGGCACAACAAACATATGGATTAATGGTTTTGACCTCATCTTGTCAGAATTTATCAAAATATAGCTTGTTATATTACCAGGTCTGCCTACTTCCACCTATGAAACATCAACCTCCTCTGCCCCTCTCTTACCCCCAACACTGCTGCCATCCACATCCACAGCCTCGTCACTTCCTGTCTGGATTATTGCAATTCTCTCTTCTTCAGTCTCCCTCACAAATCCCTCCATAAACTTCAACTGGTCCAGAATTCAGCTGCCCGCATCATAACTCTAACCCCCTCAATCCACCACACCACTCCTGTCCTCTAACAGCTCGAAATATATGTATATATATGTAAAATGCTAATTGAATTGACTTTTTCTGTATGATTTCCAATTGTGCACCAATGGGTACATGTTTGGTGTTGTGATGGTAAACAAAGGGGTTGTGTTGATTATGTAAATTAATCTAATTCAGAAAAAAAAATGGAAATAGTGTTAGAATTGTTAGATATAAGGTCTCATAAGGGTTCCCTTATAATGGAAAAAAGGGATTCAGATTAATGTGAAAAAGAGAGACTAAGAATAACGTTGAGATTCTGTTGTATTAATTATAAGTTATTACTGCTTTACTGTTATTATTGATTTTATTTTAGCTGGTTTAGGCGGCCTTCCACTACAGTCACCCACCATCTCCAAACTAGTGCGGGGCCACCGTCCCCTGGGGAGAACCCAGTCGGCCCCTCTTCCTCAGCAGCCCTGCGGACAGGCACAGGCCCTGCAACAGTTAGTTGTCCAGCAGCAGCACCAGCAGTTTCTGGAGAAGCACAAACAACTATTCCAACAGCAACAGCAGCAGCAGCAGCACATCATCAACAAGGTATCATAGTATGGTTGTGTACAAAGTCAAAAGTGATATTTGAACATGTTTTGCAGTAATATGTGTACATATTATTATTTTTCTTTTGTCCATCTATGCATCAATTATTTTGTTAACTTTAATTTTATATGCTCTTAAAGAGCAGGATGAATCAGCAAGTCTTTTAGCCTGGTTTAATTGTCTATATTCACATGTCCATACTACCTCCTGTCACCCTGGCAACTGTACACGAGAAGAAGCTGCTTCTGTATATGATCACACTGGAACTCATTGTTTCACCATCTGTCTAGTGGTGCTGGATGATGTGGCACTTGCTTTGTTATGAGGCCATTCTAAAGAGAGAGATGGTAGATTGTTTTTAGCGTACATTTGTAAATCTTTGTGATAACGCTCCTGAAGGAATAGGGTCAGTGGTTTTGGTATTCTTTGGCTTCAGACTTGTCCATCTAATTCCAGACTGCAGGTTGTGGTGGGTTCATTATGTTCGGTATACAATATGTGTACAATATGTTTTGTTGGTGACATATGATGGCATCTTACATGCATAAATTACGATAATTTGAATCCGGATTTTTTTTCAAATTTTTTATTTAATTTCCCAAAAGCATAAAAAAACATTTTTTTCCCAAAAATGTGTTTATTAAAGGTTTTATACACATGTCCATTCAAGTGGACAACATACGTAAATAAGATAAAAAGATAAAAAGTTAAATACTGCATGTTATTTTGTGAAGATATTTTAACATTTTTTAAAATAATGCTTAAATACATAGAACTTTGCATGCAACTCTCATCCTATTTTAAGATTCACTATCTCGTCCCTTTCTAACTCCGTCTTATTCAACCCTTTTAATTTTATTTAGTCTATCTCAGCTCCTCTTTAAGTGTGTATTATTGTGGATATTTTTTATAATTATTGGATGATGCATCAGTGTCCACTTCTGTGGCCTATGTGCATTTTAAATGTCAAAACACATATATACACAAACAAATGGTACTGGTACATGACACTATATGATGTACTGTTGAAAGATGGAAGATAGGTGAAAGACAGTAGGCATTTTGTATAACTTAAATGGCTCAGTTGTCTTGAATTAAAGTTTCTACTTAATCATATCATGTTTGAACATCATACCCAGTAATTTCAAGATCACACCTCAAAATGCCACTTGGTAATTCAAAACAAGCTGATAGTTACGCACTAATGGAAAATGTCTTTTTTTTCTAATGATCTCTTATATATTTGACTGTGTTGTTTCCTGCACACTTTAAATGACAGTCTCCTGGATGACCGAACTTCTCACCCTATCTCTAAGGGAGAGCTGGGCCACCACACGGAGACAGCTATTTCAGCCGTTTTTATCCATGATCTCATTCTTTCGGTCTCTACCCACATAGAACATAGATTGACCGCAAATTCAGCTCCTTTTTTTACCACCACAGACTGATGCAGAGTCTGCATCACTGCAGACGCTGCACAGATCCATCTATCAATCTTTCCCTCCATCGTTACATCACTCATGAAGAGGACACTAGAACTCCTCCACCCAGGGCAGGATCTCATTCATGACCCAAAGAGGACACTCACGCTCTGCTAAGTTCCCAATCAGAAGGTCGGATTGAGGAGGTATTCAAAGTATTCCCCCCACCGCCCTACAATGTCTCGAGTCGAGGTCAGCAGTTCCCCCTCCTAAGCAACCGGATGGTTGACCAGAATCTCTTATGAGCCATCTGGAAGTCATTATCCATTTCCTCTCTGAACTCCTCCCATTTAACTCAGCATGCACCGAAGCAGCATTCTGCTCGGCCTACCGATACCTGTCAGCTGCCTCCAGAGACCCACAAGCCAAAAAGGCCCAATATAACTCTGTCTTCAGCTTGAGGGGCATTCCTCACTGCTGTTGTCCACCACCAAGATCTGGCATTACCGCCATGACAGGAACCAAAGACTTTGCGTCTAAAACACAGGAACATAGCCCACTCGGACTCGGTATCCCCGCCTTTAAGAACATGGTTAAAGTTCTGTCTGGGATTGGAGTTGAAACTCTTTCGGATAGGGTACTCTACCAGATGCTCTTAGCAGACCCTCACAACATGTTTGGGCCTGCTGGGCTTAACCACCAATTTACCCGACCATCTGAGCCAACCAACCACCTGGTGGTGATCAGTTGATAGCCCTTCTCTTCCCCTGAGTGTCCAAGATATAAGTCCGATGATACGACTACAAAGTTGATCATTGAACTGCGGAATAGAGTGTCTTGATACCTGGCGTGCATGTGGACCCTTTTATATCCAAACATGGTGTTCATTATGGACAACCTGTGATGAGCACAAAAATCCAACAACAAACTACCACTTAGGATCAGATCAGGGGGGCTGTCCCTCCCAATCATCCCTCTCCAGGTGACATTGTCATTGCCCATGTGAACATTGAAGTCCCCCGACAGAACGAGGGAGTCACCAGGAATAGTGCTCTCCAACACTCCATCCAGGGTCTCCAAAAAAGGGTGGGTACTCTGAACTCAGTCAGGACCTGGCCCACTAATCGGACTCGGAGGAAGGCTATCCTTTCATTCACGGGGGCAAACCCCAATATAGGGGCACCAAGTTAGGGGCAATAAGTGTGCCTAGACCCGCTCACAACTCCAGACCTTCCTTCCTCCAGAACAGGGTCCAGCCTTCTCGTGGACACTGGTTCCAGAACGCTGTGTGTTGTGGCGAGTCCGACTATGTCTTGCCAGAACTGCTCAAGTCCCCGTCCTCAGTTACTTTCCAGCTCATACCTCACCCAACCCCTATGGCCCCTCCTGCAGGTGGTAAGTCCACTGGGAGGGGGGGCCCCATGACATCCTTTCGGGCTGAGCCCGACTGGGCCCCAGGGGCAAAAGCCCGGCCACCAGGTGCTCACTGCCATGCCCTAACTCCAGCCGAAACTCCAGAGGGGGGGCCCGGTGACCCCCGTCTGGATGCAGGAAACTGCTCCCCAGTGTTGTTTCGGTCCATATGTATATTAAATTTTATTGGATTTGGAATTGTACTAAAAAATAACAAGTAACCAAACAGCAACCCCAAGATAAACAGTAATGAAATTACAACAACACAGGGAAAAAATAAATAAAGTAAGTTTAAATAACTAAACAAGATGAAATATGAAAATAAGAAATATTAGAAAAAATAAACAAAAATAAAAAATAAGATAAAATAAATTGATAACGACATTAGAGTTGCCGAGCCTGTGATTCAGTTATGTCCCAGTGTTTCCAGCGGGATTTGTAAGTGAAAAATGGCTGCCAGACCCTATAAAATCTCTGGGTTGATCTTGTGCTTCATCTTCCTGAGTTTGAAGTGGGCCATTACGTCCTCAACCCAGCACCTGTGTGGAAGGCATCTCTGACTTCCAATTACGCAAAATAAGAAGTCTGGCCAGTAGAGATGAAAACGCAATGGCATTTGATTGTAGTTTCAGTCCATAGAGGTTTATAGATAGATAGATAGATAGATAGATAGATAGATAGATA